AAGATGTTCCTCCGACAGTAAACTTAAGGAGTGTGTTAGGGAAGAAGCTTGGCTTAGTTCCTAGCCACTAGTAGGCAGCATGATGCGTACAGGTACTTCTGCTGGTTCCCAGTTAATAATGGATGTGACCAGGGAGCTTTCAGGATGTTTGTTACTGGTACTCTAAACTCCCCTCCCTACAGTTTTGGACCGTTCCGCTCCTACCTGCTCTTCAGGGTGCATGCCACTGAATAACACTGAGTGCCTGTTTTAAAAAAAAAAAAAAAGCAGTGCTCTTTTTGCTACAGAACATATGGCCCTGAAAACCGGCTAACTCCACCGTAATGAGCCACTCTGCTGAGTCCTGCTGCACTGCTGCTGTCTGCTTACCACTCAGGTTTGCATATGTTCAGCTGCGATGGGGAGCTGCGCTCCTCCAGTCCTCGGTACAGCTAGGGCCTCATGATGGTCGACTGGGAACACTTGGACAAGAGGGGAAGGCTGGCCTTATGGTCTGGGGTTTAGGAGATCTGGGTTCAACCACTGGCTCTGAAACAGGCTTCTTATGTATGTGACCTCGCTCTAGTTGTAAAACAGGGGTAATATACTCCCTTCAGCTGTTTCGATCCTAGGCTTGGATTGTCTCTGATAATGTGTATGTACAACACCCAGCACGATAGGGCAGAGATGTTAATTGGGGTCTTTAGGTGCTATTTTTGATTTATTTGTAGAACAATTAATTGCCTGAAAAGGCTGGGAACCACAAGTTAATCCATGTTCTTGAATATGTCTCCCTTACCCAATCCTTTCTAATACACTGGATTGCCCAAAATGCCCAGTTTTTAACAGAAGGTTTCTATTGCTTTTGAAGAAGAGAAACCCAAAACAATTAGTCATTGGAGTTGCCTTTTCTAGTCCAGTTTGGTTCAGAAAGGATAATGGAGTCACTTGTTTATTTATCCCAATTCACACTGTCATTCTGCCCCTCCTCTTTAGTCCCCTGAACTATTATATCTCCTCTGCTTAGCTCCCTGCCCTGAGAGACTCTAACCTCCAGGGCATGGGACACATGGCTTCTTTCAAAGCTTACTGTCAGCATGTGCTCCCTGCAGAATTAGCATATGGATTGAAGGGCCCAAGTTTTAGAAGTCTGGCCTAAGTGACTTGCCCTAAGTCAAAGAGGGAGGCAAATCAGAATACCTGGCTCCCAGGGTCATGTTCAGACCACTACACCACATTTCAATCAACTGCCCAGCCTTTGTAAAGGGACATTATTGATGTTATTTTTAAAGACCTCTTGCTTTGTTGCCAACAAAACCAAAGAAACTTAAAGCTGAAGCCTGCTTCCAAGCTGAATTTCTTTCTTCAGCTTTGTGCTGTGTGTGTGTAGGTCTAGGAAGGTTGTTTTTTCATTGTCTTGATGGGCTGCACCCGTGTACTAGGGAGGGGTCCTATCCTGCTCCCACGCTGCGCTGAGAGCCCACACGACCACTGTCCCGTCATTGTTGCTGAATGATATGAGCCATATTATGTGACTCTGAATCAGGAGTAATCAGTAGTCTGCATGTCTCCTCCTGCCTTTGTTATGCATAGGGTTGCCAACCCTCCAAGATTGTCCTGCAGCTTCCAGGAATTAAAGATTAATCATATATCATAAGATGAGACCTCCAGGAATACATCCAACCAAAATTGGCAACCCTAATTATGCACCTCCTTCCCCATCCATGTCCTTTCCCCACACCAGTAGTTGTTTCACTCCCAATAGAAAACACTAGGGTTCTACATGTACTGTACCCCACAAATCACTGATCTCTCAAATGCTTCCCCATCTCCTCTGTTACTTCTGAATGCTTCTTAATTTCCTCTCCTGTCTTCCCTGCCCCTGGGCCTGATGCAAAGCCCATTGTAGTCAATTGAAAAATGCCCACTGATTTCAGTAAGCTTTGGATCAGGCCTTTTTCCCCCTTGAAGTCAATTGCAAACTCATTAACTTCAGTGGTGCAGGATCAGTGACTACGAGAATATCTTAATTTCCTTCTGTCAGTGCAGCCCAGTTTCTCCCTTTACCCTCTCAGTTCTTATGATGCCTCCTTCTAGGTGCCCCGCTTATTCCAGTTTCCTTCTGCCACACTTAAGTTCGCTGCTCCTGCGTAAGAGACATCTGCTCTCCGACAGGCCCCAGTATGTTCTGTGCTACCACTCCCTGTGGAGTAATATCTTTCAGAATCTGGTATGGGCTTCTCCTGACCAGGACTTCATAGGCAGAGCCATCTTGCCCATGGACCCCATGGAGATCTTCAGGGGACTGACAGGTTAACCTGCTTTCCTGTTGAGCCTTGTCAGCAGGGAATACCAAACCAACCCGCTTCCCTGCCAGCACTGGGCTTCAAGGGAGTGACAGGAAAACATGCTCTTCCCTTAGCACTGATCAGACTGGGAGAGGCAGCTTTGCCCACTCCACCACTGGTAGGAGTTTGTATGGAGCAGCAAGCTAGCCTTTTCTCCCATGAGGAAGGGATGCAGAGGAATGGCTGGTGAGCCTATTTTCCTTCTGGCACAGATCAGCAGGGGAGCAGCGGGCTGCTGTCCTCCTGTCCTAGATACTGACATTCCCTTGCAGGAATGTAAATTAATTGTGCCACATACTCAAGGCCCCAGCCCAGCAAGAATCAGGGTTGAGCACACTGCACATAAATGTCAATCTCTGCTGGGTTGTTTGGGTCCTAATCACCCGCCCATATTTTTTTTAAAAACAGCTATGGGTGATTTTTTCCTAATAATGAATCTACAGAAGGAATGTTACTGCCATCAGGAAGTGTCAATGGCTGATTCCCAACACTATGTTTTGGGAGGCTGTTCCTTGAAACTAGAAAAGCTTTGTCATTACTTGTCCTGACTCCCCAACCAGTATGCTGTCCTCTAGACACCACCCTGCCTCTCACCCAGTTCTAAAAGTCACTGGTGTTTACGAGTAGCTTGTCAATTGCTGACTACCCAACTTGGGGGCTTATTAAAGGGGCCTAGTTTTCAGAATGTGCTGAGCACCCACCCTCTGAAAATCAGTCTCCTGTGAAGTGTCTCAATTTGGGCCACCAAAATCGTAATTATGATCCACTATAGTAGTGTCTAGATGCCCCAACTGAGATCGGGACCCCATTGTGCAAGGCATTGTATATACACAGAGTTAGAGATGGTCCTTGCCATACAGAACGTCCAAGATAAACCGATAAATGGTTGGAAGGGAAATGGAGGCACAGATGATGATTTGCCCAAGATTATACAGCAGGTCAGTGCCAAGAATAGCACCCAGGTCTCTGAGGCCCGATGCATTAGACTACCACTTGCCACTGCCCCTGAAAACTTTGGCCACTATTAGTAGCTTTGTGGCTGGGCCCAATCTTTGCGTTAAGCTGCAATGCAGTTTGCCCAGGGGAGCTCTGCTTTGTAATGCAAAGAAACAGTCTGAAGAAATTGAGTTAAACCAAAGCGAATTGGTCCTCAATAAATCTTTTGTTTGTAACCACCTTTAAGCAAACACTAGAGAGCTGAATGAATAGCTTTCCTACTTTCATTGCAAGACAATGTCAACCCCCCAGTCGCCTCCCTTCACTGCAATGGTAGATTAGAGGTATATATGTATGTAAAAAGAAGATGCTAAATGACATGAAGCATTGAGAAGGGAATGAAATGATATGGGCTCCGAATAAAGTGTTGTTTCTTTATTCAACTGCAAAAGCCTTCTCTCAGGATGTTTGAATTTAAATTTCACTCTTGGAATACCAATGGCTTTTTAAAGAGGCGTCTGTGTATCTCTGCACATTAACATACCTTGATACAAGTGACAGAAGCACAAAATCACTGGAGAAAGGAATGTACAGTTTAGTTGTCGCCGTGTTGGACCCAGGATATTAGAGAGACAGGTTGGATGAGGTAAAATCTTTTATTGGACCAACTTGGTGAAAGAGACAAGCTTACACAGAAGAACTTTGTCTAAGCTAGTAAGCTTGTCCTTATGCTGGAGAAGGCAAGTGTCTTTTTAGAAGACCTCAGGGATATTCAGTTGAATGCATCTTGCCAGTCAGGATGATTTTTGTAGAATCCATGGTTTTGAATGTGCAGGAAGGATGGTCTTATGGTTAAGGCAGTGGACTGGGACTCAGGAGATAATATCTAGAGCTTTTCAGTCCTAGATCTCAACGCACTTTACAAAGGAGGTCAGCATCAGTAGCCCCATTTTACTGCTAGGGAAAGCAGCGGCACAGAGACATGAAGTTACTTGCCCAAGGTCCCCCAGCAGGCCTGTAGCAGAACTGGGAACAGAACTCAGGGCTCCTGAATCACAGTTGAGTGCCTTATGGGTTTGATTCCTACCTCAGTTGCACACTTTTGCGTGAACCTGGGACAAATCAACTAATTTTTGTGTGCCTCAGTTCCCCATCTGTAAAGTAAGGATGATAAATTGGTAATCCTTTGTTTAGCTCAGTGGTTTGAGCATTGGCCTGCTAAACCCAGGGTTGTGAGTTCAATCCTTGAGGGGGCCACTTAGGGATCTGGGGCAAAATCAGTACTTGGTCCTGCTAGTGAAGGCAGGGGGCTGGACTCGATGACCTTTCAAGGTCCCTTCCAGTTCTAGGAGATGGGATATCTCCATTAATTTATTATTATTTATTTATAATCTCTTTGGGGTAGGGACAGTTTCTTACTGTGGGTATGTGCAGTACCTCGCACAATGGGGCCCTGGTCTCACCTGGAGTCTCAAAGTCCTACTGTAATATTAAAGAAACTTATTGGGAAATTGATACAGTGTCTTATTAAATCTTACCAGCAATGTTAATTCAAATTGATATGAACCACTGAGCATTCCACCTGGACTGAAAACAACACAAAGTTCTGCGAATGGAGAGCAATGTCTAGTTAGAGGGGGTATCTAGGGAATTGCTCGAGGATTGGAATCAGGTGTTTTAAAATCATCCTTAATAATATGGTGATTTTTTTTTTCCACATTGCTTTGCATGAGGAAGAAATGGAAGCAGTCTAACTCCTGGAGGCTGCCTGTATGTGAGGCCCTATAATATCTCTGTCCTGGTACAGCCCTCTGATGGAGAAATGGAGAAAGAGCTTCCTGAACAGCCACAAATTATTTTTTTGGATAAGCAGGTAGTGATTTGCCTCCCTACAGGGGTATGATTCTATTAATTCTGTGCAGTATTGTCAACCCCAAGCATTTGAAACTCATCAGATTGGCTTAGAAATGCATGATTTATTTTTTTATTAATAAATGTTGGATTCTTTTTCTTTGGGGTATATTCAGGTGATGTTTTCAAGCCTTTCTTCTCAACTATGAGGACTAAAACATTCCTTTTTTTGAAGCTGAGATTCTCATGCAATCTCCTGATCCCTGAAGCTGGGGCATAAAAAAACAAACATGAAATATTGTGGGCCTCATGATAAAATCACTAGAGTTGGCAACACTGAACTATATGTTGGGGTTAGCTGGGATCCCTCATCTCCCTGTTCTCCTGTTGCTACTTTGCAGTTAGCTTCTACTATGAATCAGTCCCCTTTACCCTGACTTGGGAAAATCATAGGCAAATATCTACATAAACATGGATATGAACTTTGCAGATCAGGTGTGTCCTGAACTGTGATACCAAATCCAAACAGTTTTGGGGGAAGTTTGTGTCTGGATCCAGAACTGGACTCCGTGGTTTACAGCATTGCCATCCCCAGGCATTTAAAAATCATGAGTTGGGCTCCCCAAAATCATAAGCTTAGATTTAAAATCATGACATTTAAAAAAAAACAATATTTGGGGTCCTTTTTATTTGTCTTATGGTGTCGTAGTCTTTAGGGTTCACATTTTTGAGTTTTTCCCTGTAACCAGGATAGCTAGAAATGTACTTTTTTTAAAAATTAAAGCTGAGATTTTCTTCTAATCACATTCATTTAGAAATTGAGGTTTATGGGAAGCACCAAATAATGCAAGACTCACAATAAAACAGTGAGAGTTGGCAACTCTAGATTTAGGCTCATCTGCAGTAAATATAATACTTTGTATGATGCAATTTGTAACACATAGTATGTAAATACATGCTGTTCTTGCTGCTTGGGATCAATAGATGAAAGTTGCCTTAGAAATAAAAGGATTCCCATTTCTCTGGAAAAAAATTGAACAAACCTTTTATTGCTTTCTTTTCTTCTTCGCAGGGTCGGAGAGTTGAGGCATTAGGTCTGCCCTCAGAGCCATGGGTCATGACAGCCTGTCTCAAGGGCTCTTCGGAGGCTGTGTTGAAAGGTTTGGATATGTTTTGGATATGCTATGGTGGAAGCTTCCACTAGAAGTGATGGCTATAATTTGAGGAGTTTCTTTTGAAGAAAGATTCAGTTTGAAGGCCCATCATTGGGCTAAAAATAGAAGGCTGGGTTTGAAGAAGTGTGATGGGCTGCTCACATGGGTGTTAGGAGAAAAATGGCTTTAAAATGTGTTTCCATGCCCTGTCAACTTAGAGACACTGTCCAGTAGAGAAGACCTGAAATATAGGTCCTGGGAAAAAAAGAGAACAGATGGAGAATTATAAATCCATATAGCCCAGTGCTAGGCTGGTGTTAGTTGGCATGAAGTCAATGAAGCTACATTGATTTTATACCAGCAGAGTATTTGGCCTAATATGAATAGAAATATCTACCTGTTTTTGTTTTTAATGTAGTATATTCCAATGAGAAAATTCCCCTTCTGGCCCTGATTTAGCAAAATATGTAAGCACGTGTTTAACTTTAAGTGAATATTCCCTTTGAGCTTATTAAGGCTCATTACTCACATGCTTACATTTAGGCCCCAGCTTAAGTACTGTGCTGAGTTGGAAACCCAGACATCACAGTGTGGTACATGAAACCATGAAAGTGAAGCTGTTTATAAACACAGCATAAAATTGACCATGCTAGCTTCACTGCCTGAGCTGAGCGAGGTTCAAAATAGTGCTGGGCAAATGGTTTTTTGTTTTTTTTTTGGTTCTCTGGCAATTCTGAAAAAATGAAAAGAAAATCATTTCTGTTGAGTCAAAAATGATTTTTTTCACACAATTTCAGCCAATGGAAAAGTCAGAAAAAATGGAGTCTCTTAAAACGACTTTTCTGTTCAGCTTGGCTGAAACTGCCTTTTTCCAGCTCAAGTTCAAAAAGCAAACCAGCAACGTCCCCGGTGAAAAGTCAGGGTTCCTACCACGGGAAGGTTTTAGGGTTTACAATCAGGTTGAATGTGCCTTAACTTCGACTTGGCAAGACCATTTCCAGGAAAGTGTAAGGGGCAGGCAGTTTCCAGGATCTAGTTCAACCACCAGTTCTTGGGCTAGGTGCTAGGATCACTGGGTGAAATTCTGTGCTATGTACAAAAATGGTAATTGATGATCACAGCGATCCATTTGGGCCTTAAAAAAATATCTATGAATCTGTTAATTTCTTGGCCTACCTGCTGAGATTGTCAAAAGCCTGGCCATTTCCTCAGTTTGGCTTAGCTCCATGGAAATCAAAGTTGTTATGGCTGTTTACTGAGGAGATGATCCACGGTGTCAATGGTGGGGTTGGTTTTGTCAGGTGGACGCTTGTCCACAGAACAACTGCCAGATGACGACAAGTTTCAGTCACTACCGATATAGGCTGGATCGAAACCAACAACCTAGAAGTGAAATTCTCAGATCCCCTGTGTCACACTTCTCTGTTTCACATGACTTTTGAATAAGCTTTATAAAAATCTGCAGTTCGTTTGGAAAGAACGACTTTTTTTCCTCCCCATTTTGCAACTTGAAACGAAATAAATCGTGAAGGGAAAAAAAGAGAGAAATTAAAAACAAATGGAAGTAAAAGACTCAAATAAAGAATAGTCACCGAAAAGAAATGCACTTTACATTCTTTAAAAGATACATGCATCAAATTAATAGTCAATAAACTCCAGCAAAGAATGAATTGTGCTGTACAGATGTTCTGCATGTAATAGTTTGCTGCAGTTTTTCCTTTGACAAACGTCCTTATTGCGCTCGTCTTTTGAAGCATATGAAAGCAGCATTTAATCGAAATGTATCCGTCTAGCGCATTGAGCCTGCTTCATCTGACAGCAGTCAAACTGCCTCATGGAAAGTAGTTTAGCTCCAAATTAGCTTGCTTCTGCGTTAAATACCAGCTTGCCTGAGAGATCTTTGTGAAGACTCCCATATATATATATATTTATAATATTCTGAGATTTGAAGCATATGTGCCCGAAAGCTGAGATAGTCTCTGTTGAAAAGTACAGTACACTACTCTAGGCTTCATCATAGACTCAGAATGGCAATTGTAAAACATTAGAATGCAGCTGAAAGGATGCTCTATAAAACTGGTGTTACAGTGAGCTAAATGGTAGAGTCAAAAACACTATGGGTAGTCAAGGCGGTCATGAGGGCCGTATAAATACCTAGATAAATAGAAGAGCCAGAACTGACACTGGCAATGAGGGAAATCCACACTGCTAGGTTAAGGTCCAAATTCTTATTGAAATCATTGGGACTATTCACTAACTAAGTTACTAATTATTAGCATTTATATTACAGTGTCAACTAGAGTCCTCAGCTGAGATCTGGGCTCCATTGTGCTATACACAAATGCCAAGACAGTTCCTCCTGCAAAAAGCCAGCAATCTAAGGGCTGGTCTATACTTAGCCGCTAGTTCAGCGGCTGGAAATCGAACTTCCTGGTTCGATTTATCGCGTCTGGTCTGGATGCGATAAATCGAACCAGGAAGTGCTCGCCGTCGACTGCGGTACTCCAGCTCAACGAGAGGAGTACCGCGGAGTCGACGGGGAGCCTGCCTGCCGCGTGTGGACCGCGTCTGAACCGCGGTAAGTTCAAAGTAAGGTATGTCAAATTCAGCTACGTTATTCACGTAGCTGAATTTGCGTACCTTACTTCGACTTGGGGGGTAAGTGTAGACCAAGCCTAAGTGAACAAGACAGACTGTGGGTAGCAGGGGAAACAGCCACCGAGAGGGGAAGTGACTTGTCCAAGATTACTAGGCAGCAGTCGCTGGACTGCCATGCAGTTGCCCAGCACTCCCACTGCTTTTCATCTTCTCTTTCCACACCCAACATTCTGCCGCCTCCCTGGGTTGGATCAGACCCTCACTATTCAACAACCCTTGCCAAGTTTATCTTCTCACCAGTGATTGTACCATTTCAATAACCTTTTTGGTGCCGGGACCTTGGCTTTTCAATGAAGTCCTGTTAAGTGAGGTGGGCAGCTCTGGTGCTGGGTTTTGCCTGCATTATGTACCTGAAATGCTTAAGCCTGAGACCCCTGATACTTGACAAGTGTACATTACTAGAATTAGAATTAGAATTCTTATTAGCTGAAGCCCAGACTATGAATCCCTTGTTCATGCTGAATAGTACTTTGCATCGTGAATAGTTCCATTGAAGTCCGCTGGGCTACTTGTGTTGTGAACTATGAATGACTAAGTGGGAGAAAGGGTATCTAATCTGGCCCATAATTTAAAATCTTCCTGCCTCCCTTTAACAATACTGTGCATTTGTGGTGTGCATGAACTTTCCTGTTGAAGGTGAATCCAAGAGATGGTTGTAAAGATCTGTCCCCATCCCCAGAGTAGTAGAATGACCAGAAGTAGACAAACAAGGCACCTTCACCTGGTATATTGTGTTGTCATGTGGTTATACAACGTCATCACAGCTATAATGCACTTGTTTCATAAAGAAAGGACTTATTGCATGTAGGCTTTCAGCAAGTAAGGGAGTTTTCATTTGTGATCTCTGGTTTGAGTCCAGCATCCTAAGGAAGTTCTGATTTCTAACCCTCACCTGAAGCAATATTTAGAAAGTTTGTCAATCTTCGAGAACTGCATGAGCCTGCATGAAGCTCAAGACTTGGCAAGCATTCCACATAGCCCAAGATTTGGCTGGTACGCAAAGACTCAGAAAATAAAATGGAGATACCCTTGACACTGCAACAGGCTATCTTTTAAATGACCCCGCTGAGATAGAAATCATAGTGAATGCAAATTTGGTGGTAAAACCTTACTGGGTCAGAATGGACACCCATATTGCATAGGTGTAAATGACAACACAAGGTGCAAGGCCTCAGGAGAATCAAGGCCTCAGGTTTAATCTTAAAACATTTCACAGAGATTTTTTGTCTTACAAGTTTCTAGCTGAGACAGATCCACTTGTTTGTTTGATCATATGACAACCATCCCATTGAAACTTCATGGCCTGAGTCATTCCAAGGCTTCTGAAAGGAAGGCAGCACTTGGAATGAACAAAAGCCACTGCCATCTGATGACTGTTTAATAACCTGTGTGCAAGGGGCTCTCTTCCATGCTACACTAGTTATGCACAACTAGTTTTCGGGCCAAAATGTACTGCAGAAAATCGAAGGAATGTTCTGCCCCAGTGGTTGTTGCAGCTGTCTGGCTGGAATGAATTAGCTTATGCTGTTGTTTTTTGCACATCAGAAATCCGCTCCTTAACTCAAAGTTGTATACCACTCAAGAGAGTTTTATACCACTCATTTACCCCTCAGGTAGGGCAAAACAGATCTATAGAGCTTCTCCATGTGTCCGGTACAGCTGAGAGGCTGGAGCAGGAAAGGGGTTAAAACGGGGGGGGGGGGGGGGGAAACCTTTTGGCCTGAGGGCCACATCGGGTTTCGTAAATTGTATGGAGGGCCGGTTAGGGGAGGGGGTCGTGGCCCGGCCCCCACCTCCTATCTGCCTCCTCCCAGACTTCTGCCCCATCCAACCCCCCATTCCCTGACGGCCCCGCCGGGACCCCTACCCCATCCACACACACCCCGCTCCCTGTCCCCTGACCGCCCTCTGCGACCCCATCCAACTCCCCTTCCTTCCTGATTGCCCCCCCGGGACCCCTGCCCCCATTCAACACCTTGCCCCCCCCGACCGCCCCACCCCCTATCCACACCCCCACCCCCTGACCCCCACCCTGAACTCTGCTGCCCTCTATCCACCCCCCCCCCGCTCCGTGCCCCCTTACCGCGCTGCCTGGAGCACCGGTGGCGCTACAGCTGCGCTGCCCGGCTGGAGCCGAGCCACGCCGCCGCCGCCACCACGCAGCACAGCGACTGGTCAGGCCGGGCTCTGCAGCTGCGCTGCCCCAGGAGCTCAAAGCCCCGCCGCCCAGAGCATTGCGCCGGCGGCGCAGTGAGCTGAGGCTGTGGAGGAGGGGGAATAGCGGAGGAGGGACCGGGGGCTAGGCTCCGAGGCCAGGAGCTCGGGTACTGGGCAGGACGGTCCCGCGGGCCTGATGTGGCCCGCGGGCCGGAGTTTGCCCACTTCTGGGTTAAATCAATAAACTGCTGCTGCTTCTTGGAGGCTGTCTCTTTGGCTTGGATAACAATCAACATCCCACTAAAAATCCCCTAAGAGCTCCAGTGCCCGTGGCGTCATTCTTCTCAGATTCAGATATGTTAACACTAGAGCTGTATCAAACCAATTCATTGCATACAAGCAGCCCCCAGTTCTGGGAAAATGAGGTACTGGATCTGTCTAAGGTACTTATCTGTCCCCCACTACCGTAGTACCTCACTGTCTTTAGTGGATTTATTCTTATACCATTCTTGCAAAGCAGGGCAGTGCGGTTGTCCCCATTTTATAGATGGGGAAGTAAGTGACTTTTCCAAGGTCACACAGGAAGTCTGTAGTAAAGTAGGACATTGAATTCAGGTCTCCCTGGCCGCAGCCTAACACCTTAATCAATGGCCCATACTTCCTGTCTCCCTGAAATGGAGCTTCATAGGTGGGCCCTGTCTCTATAGTGAACTAAGCCATGACCCTAGATCTGGTCTGCTCTGAACTCTGGGGCAACTCGGACCTGCTTCTGAATTTTACAATGTGGGCCTGTTACTCGTGTCAGAGATCATGGGGCCACCCCCTCCGCTAGTGTATATTGGGGTAGCGCTGCTAAAGTCGTTGAAGCTGTGCAGATCGGCAAAAGTTGAAGATCTGGCCTGTTGAGTTTTCTTTGCGACCTAGGAGCTTGCTTTTGGTGATGTTCAGCAGAAGGTTGTTAACTCCCAGTGTCCTTGTGTTTTGCTGTTCAGGGCACACCAGAGTAGAGGTTCGAGATGGACGGGCTAGCTTTACGAACCTGGCAATCTCCAATTCAGGCTCAAACTGGTACCTCATTTTCACTGTTATTTCACCTCCAGGTAAGGTCCATGATATATCTCCACATTGTTCTTGCTTTACCTTAGTCATGGAAAAGTCTTTAAAAGCATCCGGAGGCAACACAGGAAGGAATGAGATCAATGTATATGCACATCTCAAAGCACTGATTTCGCCTCCCAATGTACTGGAACACAATAGCCAGGGAGCAAGACTGGCAGTCGAAAGCTTGATTCAGGCTTAGGCCCTACAAGTCTGGGCCTAGGGCCCCACAATCTGGAGTCATGTGATTATATTAGACTCTGAGCCTTCATTTTAAAAAAAAATAGGTCTCTTGTCCTGATGGTTGTGAAGAAAAGCTTGGAAACCTGACTTAAGTGAAGCCAACGCAGTGTTGTCTGTCTGAGATTGCAGAGAGCCTGAAACAAGAGCTCTGAACTGCCCCATCCCTCTCGGTGCAGTGTTAACTCCAAGACCCACTCTTCTGGGGGGCGGGGGGCTTGCCAGCACCATCTAGCAGAGGAGTCTGTGTTCGTGGCAGGAAGAGGAGAGTGCAGATGGCCCAGTCCACCCACTGAAGCAGTTGCACCCTGGTTGGTCCTGAGGGAAGAGTTTCTGCTGGGAGGGGCTCAGGCCACGGGGTAGAGGCAGAACCATTGGGAGCCCATGTGATCATGTGGCTAGGACCTTGGATTGCCTTAATCCAGTTCTGTGGTAGCCTGGAATATTTCACTGAAATGTTAAGAACTCACAAATTAGTGTCTAAACATCTCAGGTGTGTAATGGCCCCAGTTTTAGAAAGACTAAATTGTGGTGCATAAAATATCTATGTCCCCTTAAACTGTGAGCATTTGGGCTCTGCTATTGGGTACATTCCTACAAGTTCCTGGGAACCTCAGCTCCCACTGCTTGCACTCCCACTGGCATCAGGAGGAACTCAGCTCCCAGCAGGCTCTGGCCCGTAAACTGGAAGTGTGGTATGTTGCAAATTCACTGCAAAAGCTACTGCAGTGAAGTTAGAAGATCTTCCCATTGAATGAAGGTCAAACCTGGATCCCTTTTGTTACACTTCTAGCTAATAAGGACTGTGCTGAGAGATCTTTTCAGACAGCAGCATGAAAAGCTGTTTCATTTTGCATGATCTTTGACTAATTTAAACCAGAATACTGTACATTTTTAACACACATCATAAAAAATACACTCTGAGTAACATAGATAATTCTGCCTTTTAAATCTCCTTCAGTGGGAACTGTGTTGGAGAGTGTACTGAATGCTGGCCATTTATAGCAAATGCTTTCTTGGCATCTATGATAAACAAACAAAAAAAGTAATTTCCCAGGCACTTGGGATCAAATTCTATCATTAGGTTTGCATTCGCAGCCTGCCGTAATTATTCATGCCCCTGTGACCTCCCTTTTGGATTCCTAGATGGGGCTATCCTTGAAGATGCAGCTGGTGCTAAATGTGGAGGCCCCAACTGAATAGTGGCATTGGTTGGAGGGAGCAGATCATTTCCACGGGTGAGTATGTCTGCACTGCAATCAGAGGTGGGATCGCGGCACAGACTGGCAGATGCGCATTCGCTTTAATCTAACTAGCACAGCTAAAAGAGCAGTGAAGGTGTAGCAGTATGCTTCCGTGCAGGCCGGCAATGCAAGTATGTCCCCAGAGGCTTCTACAGCCCATGCTGAAGCCTGCCCCGCTGTGTCTTCACTGTTATTTTTAGCCATGCTAACTAGATTAAAGCTAGCACGAGTATGCCAGCCACTGCAGTCACCTCTGTGATTGCAAAGCAGACATACATAGGCTTGCTATTTGCTTCTGGGTATCATTCCCTGTAGTGATATGGGTCTCTACGAGCTTGATCCAACTCCCTTTTAAGTCAGTGAGAATCTTACGATTGACTTCAATAGGAGTTGGATCCATCCCTTAAATTCTGGTTTCATTTGAGTCCTAGATGGCTGAGGATATGTCTACACTTCAATCACCCATGGCTGGCCTCTGCCAGCTGACTGAGGCTCGTGGGGCTGAGGCTAATGGGCTGTTTAATTGTGGTGTAGACATTCAGGCTCAGGCTGCAGCCCAAGCTCTGGGATCCTCCCACCTTGCAGCTTTACGAACCTGGCAATCTCCAATTGCCAGGTTCCTAGGACTTGGGCCGAACGTCTACATTGCAATTAAACAGCCCCTTAACTTCAGCCCTGTGAGCCCGAGTCAGCTGGGATGGAAGAGCCATGAGTTTTTAATTGTAGTGTAGATTTACCTTGAGAAACCTTGATCCACTATTACTAAAAGTCCCTATGTTTAAAGGTCTGCACGCCACTTCTGGTCAGTTGCAATTTGCTTGCCACATTGTTCTGATGGAGCCTGAGTTTGTTTAAAGGGACAAGGGCAAGTTGAAATCTAGTCAAGTTCAAATAAAAGTAGTTTCAGGTACTACACCTGCCTTCATGTCCCCATCTGCCAATGTTTGTGTTTTTTTAAATAAATCAGTAAATAAGCCTCTTAGACATTTGTACTGAAAATATAACGCAGACAAGTACATTAAAGAAATCTCCATTAAAGTTAACAGAGTTGCGGATTTGGGATTGATGACAAAATCAGGTTATAACAGGGGTGTCTTGGCCCAGGTGATCTGGCTAAATTTCAACCAGGAGATTACATTCTGCCCACCCAGTTTTGCTTGTGTAGTTTCAACTGGATAAAGTGATCTTCACATTCTGTTTCATATTCTTGCACAGCGTTATTGTACACACCAAAGAAATGCTGCATTTAAATGGTGGGTGAAGTGATTCCTAATCGGCTTATAGAATGATGTGGTATCTTTGGATAAAGGGTGTTATATACAATGTGTACAAGATGTGACAGTAATGATATTCCTACTGCTTATTTATAATGTTTTAATCAACACTGTGGAGAAGATTAACAGCACTTTAGGCCCAGTCCAGCAGAGCATGTGCTCAACTTTAAAGACGTGAATAGTTCTGTTGAAGACATTCTCAAAGTGCCTTTTGCTGGATCATGGCTTTAAGTCTGATATCCGAGAACAATTTCAAATTTCCAGTGATCGGCACTCAGATAGCTGGTCGGGAACCGATAGCAATAGTTCATGCAATAGTTCATGCCTTTAATGGATTTGTAAAGAACAAATCATGTCAAACCAATCTGATAGCTTTC